ACAAGAAGAAGCAATGGCGTCGAAAATTTGAAGGTATGTTTTCTGCTGTTTTGTTAGGTATTTCCGTAGGTTGGCGGCCAGAATTTGTTTTCAACACGATATTTGCAATTAATACTCGCTGTTTGTTATATTTTTTCGCTTGGTACTTGTTCAAAAACAAAATCATGACGATTTTATTGGTGGCGATTTTCCATTGTTGAAATTTTGGTTATCTCTGAAAGTAAGTTATTCGAAAGTGTATTTCTTCTAAAAATACAACTTCGATCATTATTTTCTGAATCTATTAAGGCAATCGAAATTGAAAATCCGAAATTGGATTTTTTTGGTTTTTTTATGATATTTAATTTCGATTGCATTGTGGGAGTGGGAGGGGCTTGTTGGTTTTCGATTTTCCGTTTCCTGTTTCATCCACCTCGTATTTATAGTTGTTACAAGAAGAAGCAATGGCGTCGAAATTTTCAAGGTAAGTTTTCTGCTGTTTTGTTAGGTATTTCCATAGGTTGGCGACCAGAATTTGTTTTCAACGTAATATTTACAATCAATACTAGCGATTGATCATATTTTTTCTCTTGGCAATTTTGAAAAAGCACCTTAATTACCATTTTATTACTTTTGCAAGATGGCGCTTGGTCACAAACCAGAAAATTCTTTTAACTTTTGCCTCTAAATTCCAATAATATCAACTAATATTGCCTTATTATTTAAACTTTTATTAATAAATTCATAGGTTTTGTATTTTCGAAAATTAAAAAAGTCGTAACTAATAGACTTCTATTTGTATTCGATTACATATGTATAATGTGGTATATACAAGGTGAAAACTTATAAAAATTTCCATTGTGCAGCTATTGCTGTAGTAATATCACTTACACATGCTTAATGCTAACATTTATCTATGTGTAATTTGAAATTATTGAACTACACTTTTCTAAAATCGAAATGGTTTTTAATTGTTACAAATAAATGTTTAATAGAGAAGTAAAAGTATACAAAATTATATTTAGGTAACAACAGGTAAATAGATATAAAGGTAACGACAAAAGAAACGCATTTGTTTTTCTCTATGTACAACAATTTTGTTATTTTTGGAAAACAACACACAGGCAAGCAGCAATTGTTTAACGAGTCGCCCTAAAATGGC